CACCACCCCCCCAACTTGGCCCCCCCTCAGTCACATGCAGCCGGTGCCATCCCCCGCTGCTCCCCCCTCTGGCCACCGAAGGCCTTGCCAGCCCATAATACTCTTGCCTCTGGTCGCAGGAGGCCTCCAGCCCATAATACTCCCTTCCACCACCACCCCCCCTTCCCGCCCCGCACCCCTTCCTCCCGCCTCCAGTTGGAGCCGGGCCTCACCAGCCCATAATATTCCCCAGTCTCCTAAGGCTGTTCCAGCCCATAATACTCTCCCTGTCTCCTAAGGCCTCTCCATCCCATAATACTGCCAGACGCCTGACCTGTGGGCCAAACCCCAGCCCGTTCCACACATCGAGGCTGTGTCAGCGCCACCGGCCTCCCTCCCTGTCCCTCCTCCCTCCCTGGTCGGCGCTTTCCCTTCCAGGCTCTCTCCCGCCCTCCTGCCCTGGGCCCCTCTCCCAGCCCCACCCCGTGCCTGCCTGGGCCCTCGCTTCCCCTCCAGCCTCCTCCCTTGCCCTTTCTCCATTGCTTGGTTCTCCATCCAGCTTTCTCCTGTCATGCACTTTTCCATCTCCTCCTTGATCTGTGGGATGGACATGGGCCTAGTGGGGAAAGAGTGCCCCCAGAGGGCAACAGGCCAGTCGCTGCCCCTGAAGACTGCCTGCTTGACCTAGCACCATGGAAACGTGCCCAGCCTGCCTTGCTCACCTCCTCCCGTGGTCCTAGTTCTGATTGCTGGCAGAGCTCTGTCTGGGTGAGGATTCACCTGGAGACCTTCACGTCTTCCGGAATCACTCCCCTTGGGCATCACAGGCAGAGTTTACCAATGGCCTCACCTCCCCATGCTCTTGGAAAGAGCTCCCATTTATGGGGCCTCTAGAGTACCTTTCAAAGGTGGGCTCCTTGACTCTCGCAATAACTCAGTAAGTGGGTATGATAAGCCCCATTTTACAGAGGAGAAAACAGAGGATCAGAGAGGTCAAGAAATTTGTTGAAGCCACTTTGCCAAGAAGTGAGAGAGTTGAAATTAGTGCCCAGATTTGTTTGATTCCAAAGTTCTGAGATCCTCTGGGATTCCCCAAACCCTGAGTGAGAAAGTTCACCTTCCAGAGCTTTCCATGCTCCTCTGGCAAAGAACATGATGAGAATTACCCCACCTTGTCCACGGCCTTACTTTGTGAGATTAACCTCCCCTTCCCCGTTTCTTCCATGGGACCCCAGGTGGCAGCCTCAAGGGGATTCCCACCAAGTTGGTTGAGGACCAAGAAGGAAGACTCTCTGCCCTCTTTTGGTGTCCCTTACCTCTGCCCTGGTTCTCCTAAATTTATTTTAAGATTAATGATTGTAGTTGGGTGTGGTGGCTCACACCTGTAATCCCAGCACTTTGGGAGGCAGAGACGGGCAGATCACATGAGGCCAGTTAAAAGCAGCCTGGGGAAATCCTGTCTCTGCTAAAAATACAAAAATTATCTGGGTGTGGTGGCGCATGCCTGTAATCCCGGCTACTCAGGAGGCTGAGGCAGGAGGATCGCTTGAACCTGGGAGGCGGAGGTTGCCTGAGCTGAGATGGCACCACTGCATTCCAGCATGGATGACAGAGCGAGACCTTGTCTCAAAAAAAAAAAAAAAAAAAAAAAAAATTAATGATTGTTACTCTTCCCAACTACTCTCACATGTGGAGGGACCATCCTACAGAGGAGACAGACTTTGAGGAAGGGGGCATCAAGGGATGGTCCCTGCTCATTGGAAACAATCAGAAGTGCTGCCTTGGAGATGTAGGGGACATCCCAGGCTTGGGGAGGGGAATCATGGCCAACTGCATGAAGTCTTAAGGCATCCTGCCTGGGTGTGAGCCCATGAGGGAGTGTGTTTTAGGGCCCAACAAAATTGGAACCTTGAGTGAGCCAGCTCTCAACCCCTCCACTCTTATAGCCACATGGTGTCCAATGCACAGGGGGCTGAGGCAAATGGAGAGGGACGGGGTGTGCTGTAGGCAAGTGGATGAAGAGCATGGAGGAAGAACTGGGAAGAGGAAGGCCTAGATGATGCAGTAGATTCAAGGTGAGCCAGGCAGTTGAAAGAGGTGGCTGCATGAGGAGGGGAGGAGAAGCAAGGAAACCTAGTACGTAACAGGAAAGGAAGTCCCAGGAAAGAGGTGTACTGCAAAAAGCAGGAGTTTGGGAGCCAAATACAGACCGAGCCACTTCCTAGATGTGTGAACTTAAGACCTCACATTCTCCAGGGTGTTTCTTTTATTTATTATTTATTTATTTATTTATTTTAGAGAGGGGGTCTCGCTGTGTTGCCCAGGCTGGAGTGCAGTGGCTGTTCACAGGCGCGATCCCACTACTGATCAGCACGGGAGTTTTGATCTGCTCTGTTTCTGACCTGGGCCGGTTCACCCCTCCTTAGGCAACCTGGTGGTTCCCCGTTCCCGGGAGGTCACCATATTGATGCCGAACTTAGTGTGGACACCCGATCGGCATAGCGCACTACAGCCCAGAACTCCTGGGCTCAAGCGATCCTCCCACCTCAGCCTCCCGAGTAGCTGGCACTACAGGCACGCGCCACCACACCTGGCTCTCCAGGGTGCTTCATCTGTAAAAGGGATGAGCGTCTTCTCTAACTCAGAATATATCATATTATTTAATATAATAAAGAAGATTATGCATCTTAAGCACTAACTTGAAATCTTGGCATACAGAAGGGTATTTTTAAAACCTGCTAAAAGGCTGGGCATGGTGGCTGATGCCTGTAATCCCATCACTTTCGCAGGCTGAGGTGGGCAGATTACCTGGGGTCAGGAGTTCAAGACCATCCTGGTCAACATGGTGAAACCCCATCCCTACTAAAAATACAAATATTAGCTGGGCATGGTGGCGTGTGCCTGTAATCCCAGCTACTAGGGAGGCTGAGACACGAGAATAGCTGGAACCTGGGAGGCAGAGGTTGCAGTGAGCCAAGACTGCACCACTGCACTCCTGGGCAACAAGAGTAAAACTCCATCTCAAAAAAAATCCTGCTAATGCTCATTCCCTTCCATCTAAGATTTTCTCCTTCTCTACCTTTGGATTTTCCTAGACCTTAAATGGGGCAGCTGCAGGGCATGGGGTGAAGGCTCTGGACCTCATACTGCTCACTCAGTCCTGGGAAACCCTATGAAAATGGCCTAATCTTTTCTTGCCTCTCTGTTCTCTTGATGGAAAGCCTTTGGATATCTGAATGAGGGGAAATAGTCCACCAGGACTTTGACACCAGAGATTTCACATCAGAGACAATGTATTGCCATCTACCTCTTCCACAGGCCATGGTCACACTTGTCCTCGGCTATTGTAATGGCTCCCTGACCAGCCTTTCTTTTCTTTAGACTCTCTCAACTCATTTTCCTACAGTTTATCCAACAGTTTGTCAGTGTGTTCAAAACCTCACTCAGGAGCCTCCTTGGGCTTCCCATTGCCCACTAAATCAGCTGCCAACACCTTACCGTACGGCATTCTTGTGTTTTCGGTTCCTACTAGATTTCAAACTACTTCACAGCAAGATCTGACTGTTCATTCATTCAACAAATATTTATTGAGCACTTTCTTTGTGCCAGGCACTGTTTTAGATGCTGGGAATCATCAGAGAACCAAACAAAAATCCCTGCCCACCACGGAGCTTACATTCTACCTGGGATATAGGACGGGTGGTGGAGATGATAAACTATAAAAATTAGAATAAATAAATTATATGGTATGTTGGAAAGTGATACATGCCGTGAGTTTTAATTACTTTGGAACTCACTCACATACTTGCCTATAAGAGTACTCAAGTGGCTGGGCACGGTGGCTCACACCTATAATCCCAGCACTTTGGGAGGCTGAGGCAGGTGGATTACCTGAGGTCAGGAGTTTGAGACCTGCCTGGCCAACATGGTGAAACCCTGTCTCTACTACAAATACAAAAATTACCCTGATGTGGTGGCACTGACCTGTAATCCCAGCTACTCGGAAGGCTGAGGCAGGAGAATCACCTGAACCCGACGCCGGGAAGCGGAGGTGGCAGTGAGCTGAAATCATGCCACTGCACTCCATCTTGGGCAACAGATTGAGACTCTGTCTCAAAAAATAAAATGAAATTAAAAAATGAAAGTACTCAAGTAGTTTTTAAAAATTATGTTTGATCCTGTTTTAATAGGGCAAAGTGCTGAGATTTTGGACTATGAGGTTTGGCGCTGCTGGTGCTCTCAGGACAGGAAGGATGCAGGTCTTGAACCCGGAGGATGAAGAGAGATGGAGCAGGTGCTAATCACCAGGCCTCTTCCACTGCGGCTGGAGATAAGTGCTGTGCTCCAGGCTCCAGCCTCCACCCAGATGGAGAAAGGCCCGGATTTCATGGCTATCCCTGAGGAATCTGGGTCAGTTCTCTGGTTTGGCCACCAGGGGTCATTTTACCTCTGTAAATCACCATCTGGAGCACTCCGCATAAAGGCACACACAAAAGGCTACCCTGGACTAAAACGCAGACACACACGGAGAAAAACCCTGACACTCTCACTCTTTCTCTCTCTCGATCGTACACACAGTGCGCGCACACACACACACAGATAAAAATACAATATTGAGACACAGGGACAGAAATGCAATGGGGACGCACACAGGGCAAACACTCCCTCAGTAATGTCAGGGTCTGAAGATGTCCATAAGCGCCAACTCTGCAGCCTCTCAGAGCCCCCAACTTGGGTAAAGAGGGAAGGAATAGTAGATGGCCCATTTCCTTTGCTTTCAGCATGCTAAGAACGGACAGACCATTCCTGTCCTTCCATCTCACTCTTAACTTACCCATAAACTCTTCTCTCCTGGCTGTGGCACAGTTCCCTTTTCCCTCACCCAGAGAAGCCCCATTCTCTCCCACTGAGTGTGTGACTAGTTCCACCCCCCAGTCTCCCACCCCCGTCCCAGGGCTGCTAATCTGATATGCCCAGGGTAGTGTTCCATTTGATGCACTACTCCTAGGGCTGCAGATGAAGACTATCAGTAGTAATTAATTTGTTTAGCACTGCCGTCTCCCCACAGTAATAAAAAGCACTGTATATAATACCCTGGGAAGAAGTTGGCCATGAACTCTAATACTTCAGGACAAGTATGGTTCTCAAAGTGTGATCCAGGGACCAACCCTTTGAGGAAGTCCACGAGGTCAAGCTATTTTCATAATACTGCTACACAGATGTTATTTGGCCCTTTCACTCTCATTCTCTCACAAGTATACTGTAGAGTTTTCCAGAGATTTCATGAAGTGTGTGTGATGACATTATTGCTCTCATGGCTAATGGAATGTGTGCTTGTGTATTTGTTTTAAAAATGTATTTGCTTTAATTTCTAGTATGGCAAACATCAAAAGAACAAAATATAAGCAAAGCTCTTTGAGATCTTCAATTTCTAAGAGTGTAAAGGGGTCTAAGACCAAAAAGTTTGAGAACCAGTGCTTTAGTAGAAAGAATTTTCTTCTTGCTCTGGACGAAGCAGAGAGAGACAGCATATTAAGGACCTAGAATGGAGGAGGCCCTGAAAAGGGGCGTGGTGGAAGAAAGGTTAACGTAAAAAAGAGTTTGGACTTGAATTTTGGCGAGGGGGAAACAAGTCAGTTTTGCCCTGCCCCAACTGCCCCATGCCAGATGCCAGGTCTAAATTGTCACAAGTCACTAAGTGAGAAAGAACCTTGTTCTGTCCATATGGAACTCTCAATGGTGAGGAGGGGAAGCCTAGGCAGAAATGAAAGTGGGTGGCATCCATGACCCTAGGCAGCAGATGAACAGGCATCTTAGTGGCTTGGTCCATCCAACTTGGGGTTCTTCAGCTCTCAGGCCCCTGTGGTGGTTTAAATCCAGAATGCTCATTTTGTTCCATCTAACCAGCTTTTAGCAGTTTAATGCCCCGTCCACCAGTAGGCATTCTGTCCTCATCTGCCCTCTGCACGGGTGGGCTCTCTGCATCACTTCCCACCTCTGGAGAAGGGGTCCTCTGCGCGCTCACAGTTTAAAGAGGCCGTTTCCAGCAGCACTGCCTTCCGCGGGCCCTGGCTTCCACACTTTGTACTCGTCTGCGTTCCTAAGCTGGAGTTGCCAGCCAAAGATCCAAGTGGCCCAGCCCACCTTCTTGTGTGCACACCCTGAAAACCTCCCAGAACCAGAGGCGCCGGGGGTCGGGCACGGACGGCGCCGTCGCATGATGTGCGTTCAGAGGGCCGAATCCTGGGGACACTGTGTGAAGGAAGACAGGGGGTGGGAGTTGGAGGGTCGGAGCAGCCCCTGACTGGCGGCATCCAGCCTAGTGGCGTCGGTGGTGACGGACTGTTCGGCTTGCGCGAGCGCCTCCCGCGTCCCGTTGGTGGCCAATGTCCTGGTCTGGTGCGCAGTGCCCAGGCCGCGCAGGGTGTTGCGGAAGCCCTCGGCGCTGAAGTAGTACACCAGCGGGTCCAGCACGCAGTTGGCTCCGGCCAGCAGCACCATCACCATCAGCACCCCGCGCACACGATCGCGGGCAGGGGCGCTGGCCGCCACCAGCCTGCTTCGCAGCAGCCCGTAGACCGCCAGCGTGGCGTTGTAGGGCACGAAGCACAGCAGGAAGATGACGAGGTTGGCCAGCAGGAGGCGCACCGTCTTCCGCCGCCTCTGGCTCCGCGTGGCGTCGGGGCGCGCCAGCGTCCAGAAGACGCGGCCGGAGGAGTAGACCACCGCCGCCAGGGGTAGCAGGAAGCCCAGCGTCTCGGCCAGTAGCACGAGCGGCAGCAGCCCGCCCTTCCACAGCTCATCACTGAAGTTCTCGAAGCACAGGCGCACCACGAGGTCCCGGTAGCGGCAGCGCGAGGGCCTGTGCACGCGGGCGGCGGGCACGGCGAACACCAGGATGAGCGCCCACACGCCCAGGCAGAGCAGCCGCGCCACGCGGGGCCGCCGCAGGTGGCGCAGTCGCAGCGGGTGCACGATGGCGGCGTAGCGGTCCACGTTGATGAGCATCAGAAAGATGCAGCTGCCGTACATGTTCATCTGGAAGATGGCGCCCGCCGTCTGGCACAGGAGGTCGGGAAAGGGCCAGTGGTGCAGTGCGTAGTAGGAGACGCGCACGGGCAGCGAGAGGGTGAAGAGCAGGTCGCTGGCCGCCAGGTTGCACATGTACACGCTCACCACTGAGTGCACGCGCAGCGCGCGCAGGAAGACCCAGAGGGCCAGCGCGTTGAGGGGGAGCCCGGCAGCCAACACCAAGCTGTAGACCACCATATGCAGGCGGTGGGTAGGTCGGTAGTCAGGACACTCGATAACAGAACTGTTGGTTGAGGTGTTTGCTGACATCGTGCCAAATTTGTAATGGGAGCTAGGTTGGGGATGCCATGGGGCACACCAGGGTCAGGGCATGGCATTCACCTCCGGGGCTGGGGCCTAGAGGCTGCACAGAGATGGTCCCAAAACAAGCAGAGGCGGGGCATGGGAATGTGGACTATGGCTGCAGGGACAGATGGCTGCCAAGTGGTGGGTGCGCTTGGTCACGGCTTAATCAGCAGCGGAGACCTGGAATAGGAAGGCAAGCCAGAAGTTACACAGAGACAGGGCTGCACACACAAACGTTAAGCTACACTGGCAGGCCTTCTGAGTCTTTTCTTAGCGTCAAGTCTGCCATTGGGTCAGAATATGTTCCTGCAGCAGGACTATATACCACAGTGTTAAACACCTAGACTTGAAGGCAGGGACTCAGATGCCTAGGTTGAAATCTTCGTGTTGCTAACGTGGCTAGTTGTGTGACTTCAGAAAAATTAATCTTGGCTGGGTGCAGTGGCTCACACCTGTAATCCTGGCACTTTGGGAGGCCAAGGCAGACCAATCACTTGAACCTAGGAGTTGGGTACCAGCCTGGGCAACATGGGAAGACCCCGTCTCTGCAAAAAAATACAGGGCCAGCTACTGTGGCTCACGCCTGTAATCCCAGCAGTTTGGGAGGCCAAAGCGGGTGGATCACCTGAGGTTAGGAGTTCGAAACCAGCCTGGCCAACACGGAGAAACCCCATCTCTATTAGAAATACAAAAAAATCAGCCAGGAAAAATTAGCTGGGCATTGTCGTGGCAGTTGCCTGTCATCCCAGCTACTTGGGAGGCTGAGGCAAGAGAATTGCTTAAACCGGGGAGTCGGAGGTTGCAGTGAGCCGAGATTGTGCCATTGCACTCCAGGCTGAGGGACAGAGCAGGACTCCGTCTCAAAAAAAAAAGAAAAAAGGGAAAAAGATGATGTATGTAAAGTGCGTAGGTTGCTGTTACTATCTCAAGATCTCTTCCTTCCTTCTTTACTTGCTTACTGAGCTTATAGAAGGTTCCAGGCATGTTCACAGCAGGGAACAAAACAAAAAGGCTTGGCTTCCACCTCCTTTGTATTCAGGAGGGAGGCAGATGATAAGCACAAATCAATAGGTTGTCTTATGGAGTACCTCCCTGGACCCGGTACTAGACTAGCTCCTCATTATCCAAAGAATAAAGTTCAAACTCCTGAGTACATGAGAGGCTGAGGCAGGAGAATCGCTTGAACCTGGGAAGTGGAGGTTGCAGTGAACTGAGATCGCGGCACTGTACTCCACCCTGGGTGACAGAGTGAGACTCCATCTCAGACAAGGAAATAAATAAACAAAACTTCCGAGTACCAAACAAAATCCCAGCCTTACTCATCACATCCACCATGGCACCTATGTGGGCTGGATTTGTGGTCAAAGCAAACTGGGTTCAGCTTAACGGTTGGACTTCTCAGTTGCTTCATCTGTAAAATGGGAATAATAATATAACAGTGCCCTCATAGGCTGATTGCATGCTAGTCTTGACCAGAGCCACATGTGAATAAATTTAACAGCACAGTTTTGCTAGGCAGGGGAAGGTACTGTGGGTTGAGTTTTGCCAGGTGCTCCCCTAGCAGGTCTAATCCCAGGTGAGGCTCTGTGGTACCAGGGAGATGGTGATTTGGTCGTGAGTGATCAAAGGGGACCCTAAGCCTAGAGATCACAGAGGTGAGGTGAGGAAGGGTACCACTGGTGCTGACGAGGCTGCCAGAGGGGAAACCGCAGCAGCTGCAGTCCTCAGGCAAAAATTGACAAAGGATGTGGTCAAGAGATGGAGGAGCCAGAGGAAAGGACAGTCTGAGGGAAGCCACCTTCCTCAGTGCATAACGCCATGGAAACTACCGCTCCACTTCAGCCCCGCGTACCTTCTCTTTTGTGTGTGTGTATGGTAAAATATACATAACTGAACATTTATATGTATATTTTTTTGAGGCAGATTTTCCCTCTGTCACCCAGGCTGTAGTGCAGTGGTAAGATCTTGGGTGAGTGCAACCTCCACCTCCTGGGTTCAAGCGATTCTCCTGCCTCTGCCTCCTGAGTAGCTGGGATTACGGGTATGTGCCACTACGCCGGGCTAATTTTTTTGTATTTTTAATAGTGATGGGGTTTCACCATGTGGGCCAGGCTGGTCTCTAACTCCTAACCTCAGGTTATCTGCCCCCAAAGTGCTTGGATTACAGGTATGAGCCACCACACCTGGCCTATAATTTTTTTTTTTTTTTGAGATAGGGTCTTACTGTGTTCCCCAGGCTGGTCCTGAACTCTTGGAATCAAATGATCCTCCTACCTCAGCCTCCCAAGTAGCTGGGACTTACAGGCATGCACCACTGCACCTAGCTAACATTTATCATTTTAAAATGTAAAATGCAGTGTCATTAAGTACACTCACAGTGTTGTGGCCGAGCGAGGTGGCTCATGCCTGTAATTCCAGCAGTTTGGGAGGCTGAGGAGGGCAGATCATCTAAGATCAGGAGTTCAAGATCAGCCTGGACAACATGGTGAAACCGTGCCTGGCTTGCAATTTCATTTTTATAGCTGAATAATGTATTTCATTATATAATATTTTGCTCATCCATTTCTGTCAGTGAATACTTAGGTTGTTTTTAGCTTTACACTATTGTGAAGAATGCCACTGTGAACATGGGTGTCTAAATGTCGTCTTAGGGAGAGAAGCTGTCTCTGAGACCCTGAGCAACTATCCCAAGACACTGAGCTTATTCCTTTCAAAAGGAACTGTTAGGGATGGACGTGGTGGCTCACGCCTGTAATCCCAACACTTTGGGAAGCCGAGGCGGGTGGATCACCTAAGGTCACGAGTTGGAGACCAGTCTGACCAACAGGGAGAAACCCCGTCTCTACTAAAAATGCAAAATTAGCCAGGCATGGTGGCACATGCCTATAATCCCAGCTACTCAGGAGGCTGAGGCAGGAGAATCGCTTGAACCCAGGAGGTGGAGGTTGCCATGAGGCTAGATCACACCATTGCACTCCTGTCTGGGCAACAAGAGTGAAACTCCATAACACACACACGCACACACACGAACTGTTTAAATAGTTGCAAGAAAATAAGTCATAAACCTGACTATAACAAGTTTGGTTGTTTTTTTTTTTTTTTTTTTTGAGATGGGGTCTCACTTTGTGGTCCAGGCTGGAATGCAGTGGTTTGATCTCGGCCCACTGCAGCCTTGACCTCCCAGATTCAAATGATCTTCCTATCCCAGCCTCTGAGTAGTTGGACCTACAGGCATGCACCACCATGCCTGGCTAATTTTTAAGTTTTTTGTAGACGGCCAGGTGCAGTGATTCATGCCTGTAATTCTAGCACTTTGGGAGGCTGAGGTGGGTGGATCTCTTAAGGTCAGGAGTTTGAAACCAGCCTAGCCAACATGGTGAAACACCGTCTTTACTAAAAATACAAAAAAATTAGCCAGGCATGGTGGCAAGTGCTTGTAATCCCAGCTACTCAGGAGACTGAGGCAGGAGAATTGCTTGAACCCAGGAGGCAGAGGTTGCAGTGAGCTCTGATTGTGCCACTGCACTCCAGCCTGGGTGACAGAGCAAGACTCCATCTCCAAAAAAAAAAGGAAAAATTTTTTTATTTTTTTTTGGTAGAAATAGGGTCTGACTGCATTGCCCAGGCTGGTCTTGAGCTGGGCTCAAGCAATCATTTTGCCTTGGCCTCTGAAAGTCCTAGGCTTACAGGCATGAGCCACTGTACCCGCTACAAGTTTTACTTGTATTTGGTTTTGTTCTCCCTCCGACCACCACCACCAGCAGTTTGAGACTTGTAAGAAATATAGTAAAACAGTTAAACAGAATAAAGAAATACTTCTTGCAGAATACCAATCTCAGCAACGAAAATAACACCAAATGGGACTTAAACATGCTGAAAAGCAAGTAAAACCAGGCTCATGTCTGACACACTCCCCTGCCCCATGCTCCTTTGCTCCAGGCACACCAAACTAATACTAATTGTGGAGATGCCTTATGTTTTCAGCACTCCGCCTTTACATGTGCTGTTTCTTCAACTTGCAACGCCCTGCCTCCCATTCTCTAACTGGCAAGCTTAGTCTGTTTTCATGGCTCTCAAAGCCTTCCCTGACTGCTCCCCACACACAGCAGATGTGGTACCTTCACTTATCTCCCTCTGCAACAGTGCACAGGTTTATCAGAGCTCTCCCCACAAGTACAGTAGTCAGCTGTTCCTGGTCTGCCCCTCCCTTTAGACTGTGAGCTCTTAGAGGGAGGGGCTGTGGACTGTGGCTTATTAATCTCTGTGCATTCCCAGCACCTACCTCTGTAAATGTTAAAAACAATAGCTATCATGGCCGGGCAGAGTGGCTCACGCCTGTATTCCCAGCACTTTGGGAGGCTGAGGGATGTGGATCACGAGGTCAGGAGTTTGAGACCAGCCTGGCCAACATGATGAAACCCCGTCTCTACTAAAAAATACAAAAATTGGGCCGGGCGCGGTGGCTCAAGCCTGTAATCCTAGCACTTTGGGAGGCCGAGGCAGGTGGATCACGAGGTCAAGAGATCGAGACCATCCTGGTCAACATGGTGAAACCCCGTCTCTACTAAAAATACAAAAACATTAGCTGGGTGTGGTGGTGCATGCCTGTAATCCCAGCTGCTTAGGAGGCTGAGGCAAGACAATTGCTTGAACCAGGGAGGCAGAGATTGCAGTAAGCTGAGATCACGCCACTGGACTCCAGCCTGGGTGACAGAGCGAGACTCTGTTTCGAAAAAAATAAAATAATAAAAATAATATCTATCATTTACTTATCATCACCATATCGTAATTTGTGTACATAATCTCCAGCCTTTCCAACAGTCCATTGAGGTAGATGTTTATCCTCATTTTAAAAGGAAAAGAATCAGAAGTATAAGAGCTTGGCACCAAGGAGTGAAGCCGGAATTTAAGCCCAGGACGGCCTAGCGCCAAAATCCAAATTGTATGATGCTGCTTCCAGCAAGAGCGATGGATGGATGCTGCAGAGAGCACCTGGTCTTTTATAGTTGCCTCTATGAAATCTGTGCCCATAGATACATTATTTCACTTCCTCATTTGTCCAACGGAAATGCATAAAATGGGTTATTTGAAGTGGGTTATTACAAAGAACCCATTTCACCACACCCAGCCAGGAAATGGTCTTTTACTGAGTTGCACATTTGGACAAGAAAGAGTGTGAT